TAATGGCCCACCGGGTCGCTGTGTATCCTCACTTATGACACGCTCCGATAAAAATATCTTTAATTAGCAGGCTAACGTGGGGCCCACACAATGGGCTTGCCTTTTGACGAGAATAATCATGGCAAGAACACGGGCCCCATCCGTTCCAGGAGGGGAGTCAGAGCCCAATCCGCTGGGTCTCCTCCAGGAGGATGCTCTGGGACTCAGTGTAACCAGGTGGGCAAGAGCCCGGGCTTTCGGGTCCTAAGACCCAACACCACACCCTTCACAGATTGGCTGTGCAATTCTCCACCGGCCGCTTCACTCCTCTGTGCTCCAATGTCCTCATATGCAACATAGAACTAATAACACGTTCTTCATAGGAAATAAGGACTGAGTATGACAAAGAGCTTAGCACAGAGTCTGGCATGTGGTTCGTGCTCGATCAAGGGCAGGTGCTGCTGCGGGAGGGTGCAGAGCCGGGCGATTCCGGAGACCAGGCCCTCAATGGGACAGGACAGCATAGCCAGGTCATTGCTGCTGCTCCTTCTCCCTATAACAGCCACTGCTGTCTCTTTGGCAGGGGAGCTAAGGAAACGGAATCAAGCACCTTCTCATCCTGCTGGATTCCCCACGGGTGGACAGCCTCTGAACCTCTTACCCTCCGTGCCAACACGTGTCAGGCCCACAGAAATAGGTGGAGAAAGGCTGCCCCTGTCTGTCCTCCCTGTGCCAGCCCCAGACCGGGGAGGGTGGGTCTCCAAGGGACCCTGAGTGGGTGCCGCGCCTTGGGTCCAACCAGGGGGGCTTCATGGAGCCCTCTCCCCGAGGTGATGGGGAAGATACAGATCGTCTCCCTCTTAGCACCAGGATGACACCCCTTAGCCCTCCCTCCGCTCTTTCCTGGCAGGCGGCCCCTGGTGCAGCCAGATGTTACTCCGGATTGCAGAGCTTGGGAAAGTTTATAGGTTTTGAAAGGTCAGTGTCTTTGGTGGTAAAAGTTTTACAGACCAGTAAAACCTTACTGCGGAAGGCGGGAAGCACAGCTGCCATGGAAAAGGCTGGAGCTGGGACTCGGGGGGGCCTCGGCTCCGTCGTGTCCACCTGTGGGGAAGGGCCATGTCTCGAAGGCTCTCTGGGCTCCGTGTTTTAACCTGGAAAATGGGAACAAGAAAAGTGAGGTGGGTGGGAAGCTCCTTGCACGTGTGTGTGAGTACAGTCCTCCTCTCCAGGGTAATGGGGGCAGCTGGACACGAGGGAGGCCCAGGCCTGCGGCTGCTGCAGGCGCAAGCTTTTCATTACACTCGCTGGATCGCTGCCATCTGCATGTCTGCCTCCGCTCCCGGGGAGGAGCCGGCCGTCTGCAGCCAGGGCTCGGGAATCAAATTAGCCCTGCCTCCGCCTTCCCCTGGTCCCCGCGGCCCAGGGCAGCTCCTCGGGCCTGGAGCTAATTCTTGTTTAAAAGGGGCAAAAGTGACTCCACGGTTTCATTGGAGGCAATTTACACCCCGCCACTGGCAGCAGCTCCAGCTCCTCCCTGTCTGTTGTGCCACCAGATCCATTAATAGGAAGCTTCTTTGGGGAAACGTGATTGCTGCTCCAGCCGAGAGGCACGCGGCCTGCCTGGCGCGCTCTAACCCTGTTACCTAAGAAGCTAATTCTCTAATGCGCACCCTGTGCCCAAGACATCTTCCTTGTCTAACGCGATCGGGCGGTCCCAGAGGGGCCGGAGCTCAGTGCAAAGATGAGGGCCTGGGCCCAGGGGACAGGGTGTCCGGGCTGTGGCACTGCCCCCAGATGGCTCTGAGCACTTGCCCGTGGCTGGCACGCCACTCTACGGTGTGGAGAGCCCTCCTTCCAGACTCCCCTGGTGTAGAGGGCCACCTGGGAAGACACATGGATTGTTGTTGACTGGGCCCCGGACCTTGGAGGAGTCATGTCAGTTGCACTCCCGCCCTGGGAGTGCGGAGATGTTCTTAGTTCCTGGCTTGTTTGTCTGGGAGGAAGGAGTGGGTGGCAAGGCTCCTTGTTTTTCTGTGAAACCCCCCTTGTGGATTGGAGAATAAATAGATGTGCTGCGTGGCTCCGGAGGTCATCAGCCTGTCTCTTCCACAGAGGAGATCGGCGGCCCTCCCAGCTCCCAGCTCAAAATCTCTCTCTGTGTCTTCTCTCTTTATTTCTATTATTTCTCAATCCCTGGCCACCTCCACTTAGAACCGGTTCGTTCATCTCTCTTTCCGTGCGGGATGCAGAAAAAGGAGATCCCCGCCGCATCAGGCCCCCACACCATGGTGGGCCGGAGTGAGCCCCATTCAGGCCACCCTGGGCTGACAGCTCAGACTCTCCTGCTGCTGTTGCCTCCCCCTCCCTTCTCTCCCTTTCCTCCTAGACTTTTCCTCCCTCTCTCCTTGCCTTTTTCACGTCTGTCTTCCTCTTCCTCCTTGCTTTCCCAACAATGTTCCTTCTCTCATCTTCCTTTTATTTTCTACTTCCCTCCCTTCTCCTCTTCAGATCCCCCGTCTCCTATCCTGTTACCTCCTGTTTCTTTTTGCCTCTTCCTGCCCTGTCCCCTCCTGTTCTGCCACTGCCCCTTCCAGAGCAAGTTCAGTGCCGGGTGCCTCTCGCTGCTCTCTGTCTCGCAGCCTGGCTCTGTGGGAGGGATGGGCCAGGCCGCAGGGGCCTCGGCGTGGAGGGAGGTGGGGATGGGCCTCATGGACATGCTCAGGGAGCACGTGGGGTAGCAGTCCGTGTGTGCGGGCATCGGGGGAGGGGGGAGTGGTTGAGTGTCTGTTCTTCAATGATGAAGCAACTAGAAGGAAACCCCAAGGGGGTTTGTCACCGCCAAAGGAAGGGACCCCTCAATGAATGGGATGGTGCTAGATGCAGACTTCACCACGCAAACCAGCAGAGGAGAACGCCCTCTAGAAATTCTCAGCGGATTTCTAAGTGGCCACGGAGGTGAGTGAGCAGGAGCCTGAGCGTTCATTCATGGCTCCGATGTGGGCTCAAGGCTGCCTTTGGGAACCCACAGAGCCGCTCTGAGTCAGCCTCCGCACGGCTGAGCCTGCCGCGGGGCCCACGCACGCAGCCCCGTCTTCCTATCCGGCCCATCCTGCGGGCAAGCCTGGAGTCCGGGCACATTCTTTCAGGGGACAGGAGAGGGTGGCTCTAAATTCTCTACAAGTTTGGGGCTCCCTGTTTCCTCCTTTTCTATCACATCTCCCCATCTCCGTTCCCCCAAAGGGAATTCTTGGAGCTGGTTCTCCCTGTTTTCCTAGATTGCGCCGTGAGAGAACACATGGCTGGAAAGAGGGGTAGCCCATTCTTGAGGGAACATCCCCGGCCACCCCCTGGCTCGTGGCCCTGTGAGGGACCCACCAACGGAGGGGATAATGCAACACGCAGTGCTCACATGCACATGAACAGGAGGGAAAACCCAGACAGAACCAGAAAAGCTTACTTCTGATCCAAGTGGGTATTTTTTAACTTAACTAAAATTCAGAAAATCCTTTCTCCTTGCCTTGTTCTCAGCCCGATCTACTCTTCAATTCAGCTGGAAAAGCATTAAATGTGCTGTGGTTGGAGCTTGCATGACTGCACTTAGATGCAGGTGCATTTTACCTAGAAAACAGTCCAGATAGAAAAGTCTACGCAGCCCGTCCGGCCAGTGTGACTCAGTGGTTGAGCATCGACCTATGAACCAGGAGGTCACAGTTTTGATTCTGGACAGGACACATGCCCGGGCTTCAGGCTCAATCTCCAGCAGGGGGCATAATTCTCTCTCATCATTGATGTTTCTATCTTCTTCTTCCTCCCCCTGCCTCTCCCAGAAATCAATAAAAAATATATTTTAAAATAAATAACAATTTTCTTTAAAGGAAGAAGAAAAGTCTATATCTATACATCTATTTGCATGGTGAAGTGGGAGTGGGATGCCTCTAAATAAACCTATAGCCGTTGTTTTCCCAGACAACCTGGTGGCACCCAGGTCGGTATCGGAGGGATAGATACAGGCTTATTTTACTTACAAAACAAAAGAAAGACACTTCTTTCAAGAAAATCACATTTAAAGAAAAAGTGTTGTGACCGCACGTGAAATGACACTAAGCAAAACATGGGGGCAGGACCTAAATTTACATGTATGGTAACTTACTTCATTGTGTACATATTATAGAATATGTGTATATTACAGAAAATATACACCAAAGTCTGAATGGTGGCTGTCCCTGGGCAGTCAGTATGCGTATGGATGATTTCCATTTTCCTTCATTTCTCCCACAGTGAGGATGTATTGCTGTTGTATTTTAACTATGCATATCTACTTTGTATGATAAAAATAATAAAATAGTTATATATAGCCTCAAAAATTGTATTGTATAAATATATATGTATATTACATCTTGGCTTCTTAAATGTGAATATTTCGATGAGGACAAAAGGGCAGTGGAGACTCCAGGTCCCCTTTCTGTCTGCAGAGATGCCCAGTCACCGGCCTAGCGAGGGGCCCTGTGTCACCCTGCCGAGCGAGAGAGTGGCCCTCCTGCTCCTCCCACCTCACCCACCCAGCCCAGCCCAGTGCCAGGAAACATACTTGCCTGGTAGAACATACATGAAGGCTACTACTGCCTGGAGCATCTCCCAGCTGATAGGGGCTCCCGGGTTTCCGGTCCCCAAGCCAGTCCCTGGGGAACTGCGCAGGGCACCTGGCAGAACAGAAGGACTGAGCTTTCCTGAATGACCCAGCTTGCCAGTCCCCCCACCCCGCAGTGGTTCCATCCCCTCCCCGCCCACCCTGAAACCTGATTCGAATGAGGGATTGATTGCAGAGACACTTGGCAGCTTCCCAGCCTGGTGGCTCGGGCAGTGCGGGCAGTGCAAGGCTCAGCCTCAGAAGTGCTGGGAGCACCCTGAGAGGCAGGCCGGCGGGGATACGGGCCAGCAGAGCGCAGACAGGCTGGCCCTCGGCGGGGCTCTCCCTGCCCGCCCGCCGCCCGGAGGCGCCCACGCCGTGGAAGCTCGCCATGCTGCTGTGGGCCCCGCAGGCGCTGCTTGCCCTGCTCCTGCCCGTGCTCCTGCCTCAGGGAGAAGGTAAGCGGTGGGGGAAATGGGAAACACAAAGGACGTGGAAGGATGAGTGGGGATGCAGGATGAGTGGGGATGAGTGGCCACCTACCGAGGGCCAGAAGGGGAGGCTCGATTCCTGCCAGGGGTGAGGACCGGTGGGCTTTGGAGAGGGTGAGGCTGCAGGAGGTCAGGCTCTCACCCCGAAAGCACATGCGAGCATTCTGAGGCTCTGTGGCCCAGCGGGGAGGTCGAGGCTGAGCCGGGTGAGAGCAGGGCTGCTGAGAAGGGTGCAGCCTGCTGTGTGGGACACCCGTGGACGGGGCAGGAGCGAGGTCTCTGCTCTTTGCCCTGCCCCTGAACTCACCGAAGGAGAGCTGCGAGGCCCCCTTGTTCTCAGAGGGAGCGCTGTGGTCCAGGGGGGGATGACGTGCTCAGGTGGCACAGGGTGAGCAGCAGTGCCGGCTTTGTTGTGTGGGCTCCTGAGGTCTCTGTCTCCCAGTTTGCTTCCGGGGCTAGCCTCCGATAACACCAAACCCTCTCTGCATCCCCACTCATCCCTCCCCGCCTCCCCGGTGGATACAGGTGTTTTCCTCACGGAAGGGTTGTGTCCTCTCTCTGCAGACACTCTTCATTCATCTTAGGCCGTTTTCTCGTCATCCAGAGCTAGGCTGAAGCTGGGCCAGGGTATGTTAGGGTGGACGGGGGGCCGGACTCGAGGCTTTTCCTCCCGAGAGCTGGCACTGGGGAAGCTCAGCAGGACGAGCAGGGGATGACTGGCCCGGGCTGCCCAGGCTGAGGAGCCCTCTGAGTCCCCGAAACGGCCTTTCTCTGACCCGCGGGGCCCAGGCTGGTCCTCTCCAAACTGGCCCGAATCCCAGACCACAGGCTCTGGGCTGCTGCTGCCACAGGGAGACACCCGGGCTCCGGGGTGGAAGCAGTGCTATGGTAACTGATGTTCTTCCAGAGGCAGCCCCCATGCATGCTCTCCCACCTCTCCTCTCCCTCACAGCTCTGTCCTGAGGGCAGCTGGGGGTATCAGGGACAGGTGGCGAGGGGCAGGAAGGAGACCCTGAGGATCAATATGCTGTACAGGCTGTGCACACAGAGCCAGGCCTGCTGGGACCTGCGCTCACACTGCCAGGCCCCCCCGAGGCTTCCACCCTACACCCTAGTCCTCCCTCTCCCACCCTGTTTTTCACCTGTTTCTTGGTACCTTTCGGGAAGTGCTTCTGCTGTTTCCCAGAAGGCACCTGAGGTGCACAGGACACCCCAGAGGATGGGGCTCGGGCCTCAGAGTGGGGATTTCACCTCACCATTTGGTCCTTGCAGGCCTCCTGCGCTGGGGACAATCGGCTCCTGCTGGCTTCCTCCACACCTCAACCCAGCCCTCTCCCTAACCCTAACCAACTGCCCACACAGCACCCTGTGAGGGACCCGGCACCCTCCTCCAGGAGTCTGTGCGCCCCGGCCGGCGGGGTGGCGGGCTTTTTGGGGTGTGTTTTGCAGGAGGGAAGAGGAGATGTGAGTTTTCACTGGATGCCCCCTTCTTCCTTCGTCAGTGCAGGCTGGGGGCCAGGAGCTGAGGGGCTGTACGGTCACTGACATCTGACCTCGACAGAGGCAAACCCTCATGCAGACCTCCAGGCTGAGGAACTGTACACTGCGGGCCACTTTTTTGTACCCCTCTCAGCTCCCGGGGCCTGCTCCCCTTTCCTTCCCCGGACCAGGGCCCTGCAGGCTGACCTCGGAACCCGGGGCCTCCTTCACCCTCACCTGTCTTATGTCACCTTCTCTCCCAGTCCGGCTCCCTCTCTCACGTGAATGGTGTGTGGGTTACCCTTAGGAGATCGCACCTTTGAACTTGGGGAGGAGTCTGCAGACACAATGGGAATTTCCGTGGTTGGGCATCTGGAAGTTCTGTGAGGTGGGACCGGCGAGGGCACTTTCCTTCTCCTAGCTCCAAACCAGGGCGAGAGGCCCTGTGGCTCCGGTCAGATATCCACCTGGAACTGTTCTCCCTCCCAGCCAGGCGCAGGGGCGGCCTCCAGGCCCACAACACCTCCAGGCCCGCGCTGTGGCGGCTGTCGGATCACCTGCTGACCAACTACAAGAAGGGCGTGCGGCCCGTGCGGGACTGGAGGAGGCCAACCACCGTCTCCATCGACGTCATAGTCTATGCCATCCTCAGCGTGGTGAGGGCTCAGTCCCAGGCGCCCCCAACTCAGAGGGGGAGGCCCTGGGCACCTGGGGGACATTCGGGTACCATCGTACCTGTGGCCTGGCACCATCAATCAGACAGGATGCAGCACCCCCACTGCAGAGCTGCCCAAACCAGGAACCTGGGGCCACCTTTGCGGACACAATGTCCCACATGCCTGCAGCCAGCGGGCCACTCACCGTATGATGGTACCACCTCCCTGTGCGAGCTGTGTGAGGGTTCAGATCGTCCTATTCATCTCTCTGCCCTGTGCACACAGGTCCCTGGTACATGGTGGGTGTTACTCAATGGCTATTGAAGAGTTCATCACAAGTCAATTAATTGATTCCTCCATTAATGACAGTAGTAGATGGAGTCCACTGCCCAGCACAGGAGGTTGGACATGGCAGATATAGCAGAAAGCGACTGCGGAGATGCCGAAATGGGGGCATTGTGCTGTTAGGGTGGGCCATGCGGCTGTTTGGAAAGGAAACTGGGGATTGGATAGGAGGGAGAGTGATGAATTTTTAATTCTATGTGGCTTTGTACCTTTTGACTTCATTCTAGGATAGGAGATAGACATATAGAGATGATAGAAATAGAGATAGAGATATACATATACAGGATATTACTAAAATATGATTTGTATTCTCTTCTATTATGTCATATTATCTTCTATTATGTATATCATATTTCTTTAACTATAGATAACATAATAGACATATATAATATGTATGGCATAACAGACAATAATAGAGGGCATATATACGTACATGCAAATATAGTTTAAGAATCAATCACTGTATTTCTTTCTAGCTGTACCCTAGTAAAAGACCAACTTCTCCCGGCCCCTTCTCCTTGCCCCTTTGCCTCACCCCCACTTCCCAAAGAAATAGGGACACAGAGCAGCAGTGCCTGCCGGGGTTTGTGTGTGCAGAGTGGACCCTCAACCCACAGGGCCCCTGTGCGACCTCCTTTTCCTTTCCCAGGACGAGAAGAACCAAGTCCTGACCACCTACATCTGGTACCGGCAGGTGAGCAGCCCCCGCTTGGCCTCCTGCCTCATTTCCTGGCCTGGACTTACCCTTCCGGGAAGGGACCCACCACCTGGAGCGTCAGGGAGCTGAGATGCAGAAGCCTGGACTCCCCTAGCTCGGGGCTGGGGGTGGAGAGGGATGAAAGGCTCAGTGGGGGAAGTCGTCTGGACCTGCTCTGGTCCTGAAGTTCTCCATGGAACCCCCAGCAAGTGCGGGTCCCACCTCTCGATCGAACCCAGCCAGAGACTGGGAGCTCAGGGGCAGCCACTTCACTCTCACGGAGCTCGAACGGCTCGCAAGTCTGCTTCCTATTGAGCCAAACTGGGTGATGGAAACAGTCTTCACCCAGTGTCTATTGCCCACCTCTTCCAGCTCCTGGCTGGCATTGGTCAAGCGCTGGCGTGTGCAATCTCTAAGGCCCCAGGCAGCAGTTCTGGCTCGGAGCTGGTCGGGGAGAGCAGGCAAACGGGAGGCTGCTGTCCACCGTGTGTCCTAAGCTGGTAGCCCCCGGGGCCCCAGGTGCCTGGAGAAGGTGTCAGAACAGAGGGGAAGCCAACAACGGGGCTAAAGAGAAGGGGGCAGGGACACGAGGTCAGTTCGTTGAGGTCAAGCCTGAGAGACTCTGGGGACACGCCTGGCAACGTGGGTCTCCATTAAATCTCTCCCACTCTCCATGGCACCCCATCACAGCCAGCTCATGGGACAGGAAGTGGGGGTGAGGAAGAAGCCAAATGCTGGTTCCTGCGGTTCTGCTCCCTTTCTGCCTCTGTGAGATCCCTAACTGCACAACAACTCGCTGCCTCAGGGAATGGACCCAGTGGGACACCATGGCCAGCTCCCATCTCTGCATCTCTAAGGTCACTTGTCTGCCCCAGCAGTGAGGGCATGCCAGTCTACCACATGCTGAGGTACTGGAATTAGAGACACAAACTAGATCAGGCCCTGCCCACAGTGAGCTCACAGACTGGGGCAGACCACACACATGCGAGCAGACAATTCCATGCAACCCACACAGCAGGCAAGATGTCAGCCACGGAAGCACAGAGGAGGCACATGAAACCCACTAGGGATGGGGTTCCCAGAGGTTCTTGGAGGATGGAATAGACGGGTGTCTTGGTTAAGTCTAGAAGGATGAGTAAGACTCACCTCGATCAAGAAGACAGAGATTGCCGTACAGTTATCAGTGATGATATAGTCTATTAACTTCCGAAGCATTCCACCCACGATTGAGTATTCCAGACCACTCCCACAAACCCGCCATCTTTTCCCCAAGCCTTCAAGTAGAATGTGAAATGTTAACATATGTATATCTGTTAGGTCCACCATTCTGGCAGGATCGTGGAGAATGCATCGAACAGTAACCATCTCTCTCCTGAGAGTTGCATTATATCATCCCCACTTAGATTTGTGCAGACAAGAGCAAGAAGCTGCAGCCTCAGATCCCTCCGTTGGTGGCTAGGGGATTCAAAATGTTAGCAATGCCCGACCACTGTCCCTGGGAGGCTGCATCATATTTGCATGTAGGAAGTGCGTGGGCACAAAGGTGGGGGACTCTTGGGTGCTGCTGAGTGCCACTGACGCCCAGATTCCCCCAAGAAGATGCCTGCCTTTCTCCTGGGCACTGAGAGGTGGAGGTGGCCTGTGCTGGGGACAACCCTGGTGCCCACCCTAACGGGTCCTGCTCCTTCCCTAGTACTGGACTGACGAGTTTCTCCAGTGGAACCCCGAGGACTTCGACAACATCACCAAGCTGTCCATCCCCACGGACAGCATCTGGGTCCCGGACATTCTCATTAACGAGTTGTGAGTACCGCCTTCTGGTCCCGGGCGGCCAGGTAGCTGCGGGCTGGGGAGGGCAGGGGCAGGGAGCCCTTGCCATGCCCCACCCAGACTTGTAGCGCTGTGGGTAACATTAACTTGGGCCCACATTCCCTGCTTTTCCTTTCCTTTTTAAAAACTCCTCTGTGCTTAATGGTGAAACTCTGCACTTCCTGACCCCAGGGCCCCTTGCTGGGGAAAGGAGGCCAGTGAATGAATTCACATTGTTATAACAGTTGAATGATGGACGGCTGCATTTTTAAAGGGACAGTAACGTTCCTGGAAGGAATGAAATGCTGGCCACTGTTGCTGGCCACAGGGGAGACTTGCAGCTGGGTGACACTCACATTTCTCAAGTCTCACCTGCGCCTGACCCACCATAGATTGCACCCTCGGTCTGAAGTGGGTCCCACTAGCCTTTATTCTCAGCAGCCAGTCTCTCTGGCTTGGCCAACATTCCTTCTCCCCGTCCTCAGGTACCCTCTGGCTGAGGAGATGGGTGGGAGGAGGAGGTGGAGGGGCCGGTCACCCTCTGCCAGGACCCACTGCATTGCCCGGCTCCCAGGGCGCCATCCACACTGGTTTTCATAGAGGCAGTTCACCAGGAGCCCCATGCCCTGCATCGCTCAGGCGGGAGGGATGCGGGGAAATCCAGTTTCTGGCTGAATCGGTGAAACAGCTATAGTCTTGAGTTCTCAACTCTCAGCCTGATCCCACAGAAACCTGCAGGCTCCGGGCCCCGTGCCCAGGCCCCCGCATGCCGCAGTGGTCACTTTCTGCCCTGTGCCCCTTCTTCTCCATGACGTTTCTGGTTCCTTTTCCTGCAGAGATGATTCCTCTCACTTCACAGGGCTCCTAGTAATGGGAAGCCAAGAGAAGCCAGAGTCAGGATGGAACCCATCAAGCCTGCCCGTGGCCACCGGGCGGGCATCCTGGGAACTGAGCTTTGCCCAGCCAGTGGGTGGCAATGTAAGGACAGCTGGGCATGCTCTTTAGGGTCTGTGGCGTTTGGGTCCAGGGATCCTTGTCTGCGTTTTTGGCTAGGTTGCCAAGGAATAAACGAAAAATGCCTTTATTCAGGAATGCATGGAAAGCAGTGTTGATGGCAGGGAAGGCGGCCAGAGAGAGAGGAAGGTTAGAAAAACCGAGTCCAGACAAAGCTGTCCTGCTGCCCTTACCCCTCCCTGGGTTTCTTTCCCTGCTGGGCTCTCAGAGACCCTCAGACACTGGGCTTGACCTGCTTCTTGACCCCTCTGCTCTGGCCAGCGTGGACGTGGGGAAGTCTCCAGATATCCCGTACGTGTACGTCCAGCATCATGGCGAGGTCCAGAACTACAAGCCCCTCCAGGTGGTGACTGCCTGCAGCCTGGACATCTACAACTTCCCCTTCGATGTGCAGAACTGCTCACTGACCTTCACCAGCTGGCTGCACACCAGTGAGTGGATGGGCTCTGGAGGCAGGGGCGCAGGCTGGGGTCCGGGGCACTTGAGTGAGGAGCACATCCCAGAAGCAACTTCTTTCCTCCTCCTCCTCCTCCTCCTCCTCCTCCTCCTCCTCCTCCTCCTCCTCCTCCTTCTCCTCCTTCTTTCTCCTCCTCATCCTCCTCCTCCTCCTTCTATTAATCCTCACTGGAGGATATTTTCCCCCTTGATTTTAGAAAGAGTAGAAGGGAGGAGAAAGAGTAGAAGGGAGAGAGAGAGGGGGGAGAGAGAGAGAGAGAGAGAGAGAGAGAGAGAGAGAGAGAGAGAGAGAGGCATTGATGTGAGAGCCACATCAATTGGTTGCCTCACCAATGCACCCCAACTAGGGTGGGGAAGCTACAACCCAGGTACGTGTCCTTGATTAAAATCAATGCTCTAACCCCTGAGCCATGCCTTCCAGGGCACCACTCATATTCTTAACGCCACTGAGCCTGTTTCTTTATGCTCCAAATGGGAGTAACCTGGTTGCCTGGTGCCTCCCTCTGTCATCATACCAACTGACCGAGACCGTGCAAATCGACTGCCAACACTCAATAAGGCCCGTTCTTTCCCAGGGTCACTCACAGGAGTGGCACGCCATGTCTCAAAACCCTCACTTCCCCTCTCTGCTGACGCACTCTCCCCTAACTCAAGCCAACCCGATCTTGTGCCCAGGTTTCTGCGGTAGCCTCCTAGCGGGTTCCCCTCCTTTATTCTTATTCCCCTCCAATTCATGCTCCTCAGAGCAAACGAAGACCTTATTAAAATGCAAATCTGTTTAAGACTCTCGATGGCTTCTCAATGCTCCAATGCTCCCGAGACAGAATCCAAATCCTTCCCCTGGCCCGTGGGGCCCTGAGCTGGCCGCCCGCAGCCCATTCCTCCAGCCCCTTCTGCACATGCCCCTGCGATCTGCTGCAGCCCAGCTGCCTCCTTCCTGGCCCCCACAGGCCCAAGCTTTCCCCCAATCACAGGCTGCTTCCCCTCCGAGGCCACTGTGCCCTCCTTCCTCTCCTGCTTTCCTATTGTCCCCTTCCTGCCCCAGCCACACCTGAGTTGGCCAACTCCTCTGCTCACCTTCAAATCACAGCTCAGGGCAGCTCCTCGGGGGAACCCCCTCTCAACCTTCAGACTAGGCATCCCCAACGTCCAATGTACAGCCTCCTGTTCATCTTCCCACGTCTATTGTGTTTGTAAGCACTTGTCCAATGTGCACTTCTCTACCAGATGCACACAGAGAGAGGGCGGAACATGGCTTCTGCCCCATCATGGGTGCACAGCACGGTGCCTGGCACAGAGAGAGCTGCTGACAAACACAATGAGGTGCACGCTAGGTGCTCGCTGAGGTCTAGTGAAGTGAGCATCACTTTACTGCAAAACGGCATCCTCCACGACATTCTAATTTTGACCCAGACCCAGAATTGCAAATGGTCTTTGACCTCTACCCTCATTCCCAAACCCTTTGCCAACTCCCCTCACCAGGACTTCCCAGCTTTCAGCAGAATAAACTTCATATGCTACACTCTTCCAGATCCTCTTCTACCCTCTGCCTCTATACACATACATACACATCTATGGAAAGTGCATGGAAATTATTCTACACACATCATTTTTGCTACTGCTACTGGCTTCTTTTTACCCAACAGCAGATCTGGGACATTTTTCCAAGCTAGTGTGCATGTAGATCTCCCTCATGAGTTCAGACCACCGTAGACTATCCCGTGGACTGGATGCATCAGGGTTTGCTCAGCATTCTCCTGATTCATGGACACGTCAGTCACTCCTGCTGCTTGACAGCAGTGGGCGCTCCTGCCCTCTGTTGCTCATACACCTGTTTCTTTAGTAGACAGAGGCGCTCAACTGTTGTTCTGTAAGCAAGTTCTGCTTGTTTCCCAGGTCAGGAGGCTTTCTGCTGGTCAAGGTGAAGAGTATTGACTTTTGTTTATTTCCTGAATAGGTAATTATAACAAGAGAACCTAGAAAAGTGTGTGTGTGTGTGTGTGTGTGTGTGTGTGTGTGTGTGTGTGTATGGCGGTGGGGGAGGAGTTTTCTAATAAATGGTTTGTTGGTTCTTTGCATTTTGCTGTGTGTTTCACTTCATACTTCCTTTCCCTCACTCCAGGCCCACTGTACAGATAGGTACAGTGTGCAGTTACCTCATTGGGTAGCTGAGGAAACTGAGGCTGGAGATGAGGAGCTGAAGCGAGCTAAGCCATGCAGGTGCACCACATGGCACCCCAACATCGCAGGCTCTGGGGTGCTGCTGGTGTGGACTCCAGCGCTGGCTTGCTTTCTGTCTCCCAGTCCAGGACATCAACATCTCCCTTTGGCGCCTGCCAGAGAAGGTGAAGTTCGACAAGAGCGTCTTCATGAACCAGGGCGAGTGGGAGCTGCTGGGCGTGCTGCCTCAGTTCCGGGAGTTCAGCATGGAAAGCAGCAGCTGCTATGCAGAGATGAAGTTCTACGTGAGTGGAACAGGGAGGGGTGTGGTTAAAATAAGGAATAGAACCACTAAACCGGCACACCTAGGTAGACGTGAGGAGACATGGGGAGGAACCACCGTGGCCCTGGCCCCCAACGGCAGAGTCACACTCATGTGCTGGACGAGGCAGATGGGGCAACCGCTGAATTGTCCCCCCTTATCCTAGCAGCCATAGCCTGGATCCAGAGGCAACATATGGGTCTGTCCATGTCCTTTTCTGAGAAATGCAGGCTGAAAGCGCGGCCAAGCAAGGGGCCTGGGATGGGGGGCTGTTCCTGGGCACAGGGTCTGTCTGCCCAGGTCTCCCCAGAGCTCTTCTCCTGCTCCCAGGTGGTCATCCGCCGGCGGCCCCTGTTCTATGCGGTCAACCTGCTGCTGCCCAGTATCTTCCTCATGGTCATGGACATTGTGGGCTTCTACCTGCCCCCAGAGAGTGGGGAGAGGGTCTCCTTCAAGATCACACTCCTCCTGGGCTACTCTGTCTTCCTGATCATTGTGTCCGATACGCTGCCAGCCACCGCCATCGGCACGCCCCTCATTGGTAAGGCCTGCCTCTGGGGAAGAGCTCGGGGTGGCCAAGGAAGCCAGGAGTGGGCCCTCCCACCTCCTATGTGTCTCCCTCCCTCCCCCTGCCCGGGGGGCACAGGTGTGTACTTTGTCGTGTGCATGGCTCTGCTGGTGATCAGCTTGGCTGAGACCATCCTCATCGTGCGGCTGGTGCACAAGCAGGACCTGCAGCAGCCCGTGCCCGCCTGGCTGCGGCGCCTGGTTCTCGAGAGAATCTCCCTGCTGCTCTGCCTGGGGGAGCAGCCAACTTCCCACCGGTGCCCAGCTGCCTCCCAAACCAGCAAGACTGATGACTGCCCAGGTGAGAGGGGAAGGAGAGTCCCTATGCAGGGGCCCTTCCAGTCTGGAGGTAGGGGAGGGAGGTGTCTCTGGAAGACGTGCTTGGGAGCTCGGCAGGACCTGGGAAGTGGGGGCTATCCTGCAAGTGGCACCCCACGCACCACCTCACTGGAGGCAGGGCAGCCCATCTCTTTGCACCTGCACATGCTCATCAGCCTGGACAGAGACGGGGCAGGATGCAGGGTGCAGGGGACCCGCTGAGGAGTTGCCACAGCCACCATTTGCTGGTGGTCATGCTGGGTGGTGTGTTGGTCTGTCTCTTAAGCACTTTGGGCCAGGCATGTGCAAAGCCTTTCCTGAGGGATCACAGGTGGTCCTGATGGTGACCCAATTGGATTTTCATTCTCATTTTTCAGTGAGGCTATCTGGACCCGGGCTGTTGTTTTCTGGGAGGTTTTTTTTTTTTTTTTTTTTTTTTTTATTACTGCTTCTAGTTCATCTGTTGTTATTGGCATATTCAGGTTTTCTGATTCTTCCTGATTCCATTTTGGGAGATTGTGTGTGTGTTTTTTTAGGACTTTGTTCATTTCTTCCACATTATCCTCATTCTTATTTTTCAAATGAGAAAACAGGGGTACAGTGAGAACAAATAGCTTGCCCTAAGTCACAGAGCTAGGAAATAGTCAAGTGTAATTTGAAATCAGCCCATCTGACTAAGCTGGTGTTTTAATCAGTCCACCTCACCGCACTCCTCCTTGTCCTCCCTTCTGTCCTCCCTTCATACCTTTTACAGATGTTTTGTTAACTATGACCATCGCCTCATGATCTCATGAGCTAGAGCAGAAATTTTCAATTTTTCATCTCATGGCAAATATAGACTAGTCACTAAAATTCTGCAGTATAGCAAAAAAAAAATGTATTTTTTTTGCCGATCTGAAAAAAATAGGTATACTTTTGATTCATGCACACTGAACAGCTATTGTGTTGGCTATTTTGTGTGTGTGTGTGTGTGTGTGTGTGTGTTAATCTAAGGGAAAAGAGGTCAGTGCCCCTGACTACATAGTCAGATACTGCATGTTTTAAAAATTACTCTGGCACAGTTGAAAATCTCTGAGCCAGAGCACCCACCTGCTGCCTGATTTCACTGCTCACCTGGGGAAGGCTGCCATATCTACAGGTGTGTTTTCTGGAGCAGAAGGCCTCAGAGTCATGAAGAGGAGGGCATCGAGGCAATAAGACACAGTGGAGAGGGCAGTGGATTCAGAGCCCAGATATCTAGGCCTCGATGGCCTTGCAATTAAATGATGCTCTAGCTGTGTGACCACAGGCTAGTCTCTTACCCTCTCTGAGCGTTCGCACCTTCATACAAAGAGTGTGGGTAATAACTCATCCTCCTCTGCTCCTTCACGGGCTGCTGTGAAGCACAAATGAAATACTAGTAAGGAATATCACAGCTGGGGAAAGACCATGAGTTAAAAAGGAAGTGCATGGGAAGGATAAACACCAAATTGGATGTTGGTGACTTGGGGAGGGGGCAGAGGATGTGACTAAGAAGAGGTGTACAGGAATCTCCCATTATACTGGCTTTCTTTCTTTCTTTCTTTCTTTTTTAAAAAAAATATATTTTATTGATTTTTTACAGAGAGGAAAGGAGAGAGATAGAGAGATAGAAATGTTTATGAGAGAGAAACATCGACCAGCTGCCTCCTGCACACCCCCCACTGGGGATGTGCCCGCAACCAATGTAATTTGTACATACCCCTGACCGGAATCGAACCTGGGACATTTCAGTCCGCAGACCGACGCCCTACCACTGAGCCAAACCGGTTTCGGCTGTACTGGCTTTCTTAATTAGCTTAAGTTGAGTGGTGGGTCCACAAATATGTAGGTTACTCCCGATACTCTTTATGTCTGAGATGGCTCGTAATAAAAGCTTCTTGCAGGCCAGATGAATGTAAGGGATGGTGTTCAGGCCACCTGGCTGGACCTCCTCCCTTGCCAACGCTCTGCCCCTCCTTCTAGATGTGGGGAACCACTGCGGCCATTTGGGAGGACCCAGGGGCCTGGACAAGATCCTGAGGGGCAAAGACAGCCCGCCCCCGCCGCCGCGGGAGGCCTCCCTGGCTGTGCGTGGGCTGCTGCAGGAGCTGGCCTCCATCCGGCACTTCCTGGAGAAGCGGGAGGAGAGCCGCGAGGTGGCCCGGGACTGGCTGCGTGTGGGCTCCGTGCTGGACAGGCTGCTGTTCCGCATCTACCTGCTGGCGGTGCTGGCCTACAGCGTCACCCTGGTCACGCTCTGGTCCATCTGGCAGTATTCCTGAGGAGTCCAGCCAAGCCAGGCTGGGGGATCTCAAGGGCCAGGCGGTGCCAAGGATGTTCTCAAGTCACATAGACAGCTCCACCCCTGTTTCCAAGGCCAATTGATCTCAGCAATCCCAAAGCAGGGCCTTAACTCTCTCCCAAAATCTTGGCATCCAAGGTCCTTACGTCCTCGCCCGCCCCCACCCACCTGCCATGATGGCTTTAAAAGAAGTTGTATTAGATCAAAGAAATCCATGCATTTCCTAACTTCACTCTATATCCATGCAGTAAGTCTCAGTTTTCCCCACTGGCACCTCCCTAAATAAGGCACTTTGGAATTCTGCTCATCTCCCTCAGCCTTGTTTTTGAGATTGAAAGTCATCCGATTCTCTAATACATGGGCCTGATAACTGCTTTAGGTTTATCTTCACCTTACCTGTGACCACTTCCCTAACACTCACGTTTCATCAGATGGTGGGGGTGGGGTGGGAGGGAGAATAAAATGCGATAAATCTCTGACCTCTCTTCTTGATCATTTGTCATGAGGATGAAGAGGCTTAAAGTTACTGGTGAAAGTGAGGTTGGAGGGTCTCTGTGGTTTCTGCTGTTTGGTGCTTCCTGCCCCCAAGGAATGGTGGCTGTTATGAAGGAGAAGTAATAGGAGGTGGGATTTAAAATGGGAAGGTCAGGACGGTGAACAGAGCAATGGCGAGGTGTGGAGGGGGAAGCTCGGTTCTTGATCTCTGGCAAGATGCTGGACAGACCCAGCGTCCTCCCTGCTCCAGAACCCTGCTGTGCAGATCAGAACATCAGCACCACGGCCAGCGCCAGCTCTGGTTAGAGATTGTGCTTGGTTTTGCCTTTTTAATTGCCTTTGAGATCTCCCAGCGGCCGGCCACTGGCACACCCACCAGCAAGCAGGACCACGAGGGAGGCAGGCAGAAGGGTGGCCTTTGATCTGGTGACTTCCTTTCCCAGACATTGGGGTTCAAGACGTGCTGAGCGGCACCCCAACTCTTATCCATCTCACAGGCATTCATTCAGAGGAGACGATTGCCAGAGCCACGGAGTTGATCACCTCTGCCGCGCTCTCTCAGTCCAGCACACCCCTCTCCCTGCCTTGGGCTGCTGTCTCTCAGGGGAAGACGTGTGGACTGGGACTGAACACACCAGGCTAAAGGGAAAGGGCCCCAAAGAAATACCTGGAATGAGCTGGCCAATCAGCTCATCGATCCACATCAGGGCTGGCCAATTAGAAGGATTCAATAAGAAGCACCTGAGGCTATGCCTTCCCCTGGACCCACACTCTGCAGTTCTAGTTAGTAGACCATCCTGGGCAAAACCTTGGGGCCTCATGTCTGGAAGAGCCTGAGGCTGAGGAAGGGGCTTGTGTGGTTTGGCTTCTCATCCCAGGTCCCCAGCATGGAGCAAGAACTCACAGAGAGAGAACTACCCTGGAAGTTCATCTGATCTTCCATCCAGGCATATGGGCTTTGGGATTAGCTAAGGACTTTATGTTTATCCTTGTTTTGTTGGTGGGTGGGTATCACGGTCTCCCAACAAAAAGCAGGAGATTATGGGGCTGGAGAGTAGCCACACTCACAATGGCTGCTTTGAGTAGAAATGGCTCATCCTGATGCTCCCAGGATGGTCCCTGCAGCAGCACCTCAGAGCCTGGTGTCAGGGAAGAGCTGCTCACTGCACTTGGACTTGCTGGGCCAGTCATGCTTCTGGCACTGTTGATGCCCCACTGGTCAGGTCAGTAAGAGGGTGGCTATTGACAAAGTGTCCAATCAGAGAGCTAGTGAGACACTAATCAACCTATTGATTCCTCATCTCTCCCTCCCCATCCTTCACCCACAATCGTTGGAGCAACAGAGCCCAGCACTGCGGCAGCCAATTAACCACCTTAAGAATGAGCTGCCACGTGTAACATCTGCTCCACTAGCTACAGCCAATCAGCTCATCGATCCACATCCAGGCTGTGCTACCCAGGGATGGGGAACTGAGGCTGGGGCCAGGGAATCCCAGTGCACTAACTCTTGTCGTCAGTATTGACCTTGGACTTCTCCCAAGGAGACCTTTACCCTGCCCGGGACACGAGAAGGCCCAGAATGTCTCTCCCAGCTGTTATATTTCCCGGAATCTGCTTCCTTTCTCCTTCTGAGAAGCTTGTTGGTTCTCCATCTCATCTCTACTCCTTTCTATTCACATATGAAGACTCCCTGCTCTCAGCTGCCTTCCCCACTTACCTGCTTTCCAAAACCTGTCAGTTCTACTCAAAAGCTCCATTAAAGGTTTTGAAAGTGCCCAGCCCTCTGTGGTGGGCACTATCCCAGGAGGCCGCCTTTCCCATGGGAAGATGGCAGCCTCCCTCAGTGACCCAGGGCCCCTCGCGGGAGTGCTCCAGGGGGAGTGACTGAGCTCAGAGTTAGGAGGTGAGCTTCAGGGCGATTTCCCTGAGAGAACAGGAGGACAAGCTGCCTGGAAGGACGGCAGTGGGGAGGGCAGGCTTGAGGAGAGGTGTTTCAGCAATCCCCAGCCAGATTCTCCTCCCTCCCCCATCGCCCTCCAGCCTCCAAATCAATACATTTGGAATCTAATCTAATAACAGAGATTTAACGAGGGAATGATGCGTGTGCAGCGCCAGGCGCTTTGTCTCTTTGAAGCGGCAGCTGGGGCCCATTATCGGGACAATGCCCCATGCTAATCACTCCCCTCTCCTCTGGGGGCTGGGGAGGGGCGGTGGGCAAGAGAGGGCAGCTCCTCTCCTGATTGGAGACGAGTGCAGGGGTGAAAGGGGGAAGAAGTGGAGAGAGGTCTGGACGCCCCCACACGATTGTCTTGACCTGACACGCACTCACTGGCCTCCTCCCCCAGCCACACTGTCCACCCGGCAGTCAGGACGGGAGCCGGCCCGCAAGCCAGCAGCAGATAATTGCCCATCAGCTGCAGCCCAGTGGCTGGGAGTGGGGTGGGCTTTGTTGCTTTTTTCTTCCCTCTAACTTGGTCCTCTATAATTTCAGCTCTCCCGTGAAGGCCTGTGATTGGCCAGCCCTGACTGCATGGATGGAGAATTAAACCCTGGTTTTAGAGACCATGAATACCCTCTCTGAAATAGAAGCTGCTTCCACATCCTCTGTCTCTTCCATCTAGGACCTGACCAAAAACGAAAATAAACTTTTTATTTTTCCCCCTGACATGTTCTAAATTATCATCCCAGCAGCCAGAGTGAGAGAAAGAGACAGAACTGTGGCCAGTCCGTAGCTGTGAGCCAGCTCTGACAAAAGGCTGCTCACTCCCCAGTGTATGCAGGAATGTCAGATTCATGTCCAGGTGGCTGGGTCCGCGATTATTCAGAGAGAACCGCCAGGCACTCTGAACCCCAGGAGCCTCTGCTTCTGAGTTACACGTGAACTCTCCAGTCTTGCCTACAACCTGCCGAGAAGGCACTTCTCTTCCCCAGTCCGCACCTGCCCCTGAACTGCTTGCCTCAGCCTCCGCAGCCCCTTGGTCCATAGCAACGTCAGTCAGTCCTTCCAGAAAGGCTTACATCTCGCACTCTACTTGATGAGCAAACACGCAGAACTCTGGGCAGCGCACCGTTGTCTTTCCTCCTGGCCAAGCTGCTGTGGCACGGACCCAGCAGCAGGAGCAGAGACTCCTCCTGCCCTGGCTGGTTTGGCTCCATGGATAGAGCATTGGCTTGCAGACTGAAGGGTCCCAGGTCCAATTCAGTCAAGGGCACATGTCTGGTTTGCAGGTTCAATTCCCAGTGTGCAGGAGACAGCCAGATGTGGATAGGGCAAAGTGAACTGGCCACAACCACAGGCCAGAGAGGCCTAGAGTTCCTGTCCCCTCCAGGCTGGATTCAGGCCTTTGCATCCCATTCCTCCATGTCCCTTTCCCCAATTCCTCCCCCTCCCCCCCCACCTCAACTCTGCACATTTTCAGCTCCTTTCCAAGGAGTTCTTCCCCACAACCACAGCTTTGAGTCCTGCTCTAAAAACGTGTATAGATACTGGCAAAACCTGGGTGGCCTAGCCTTATAGTGGCTGGGTCTCTCCTGCTCCATGCCTCCTGTCTCCTTGCCAGCAAAGAGAGCTAAACTATTGGTATCTACCTTTGGCCAACGGCAGTCACGACCCTGTTCTTCTAATTCTGTCCACAAGGTGGCAGCAAAGCCCAGAGGTTCTATGGAGGAGACCCTATGAAATATTTCCTTGCCCCCTTGCTCTCCATATGCCCTCATGTCCCTCCACAGGGCTCTGAAGCCCCCGTCCATCTAGGGCAGCCTTTTCCTTTGGACAGCACTAAGGAGCATGTTCCAGAATGCATTGTGCCCCTCCCCCATCACATAGCTGTGCCCACACTGATCCCTGAGCAACCCTCCCTCTCGCTTTTGTGCTCAGTCATGGACCCCACCCCCAGCACACATTTCGTTGCTTTTCCACTTTCTGCTCATGCGAGGGAGATATTGATGCCTCAGGGTGAAGAAACTCTTTTACCAAAAATCCATACATACACAGGCCCATGGACTCATCCCACACTTGCTCTGAGATGGACATCAATGGTGCTGAGAAAGGAAGGGTGAGAGGAAGGTGCCACCCAGACTAGAAGCCCAGGAGGTAGGTCGAAGCAGTAGGTGGGTAGGGAGGGTGGTCGCTGGGAGATACTCACCCGGTGGCTCCAGGGTAAGGACTGAAGAGGTGAAGTTGCCTTCAGGGACAAGGGGGTTAAATGACATGGGTATTTTTTACCCATTTCAGGCCAAAGCTCATAACTTCACTGATGCCACATGCTAGCTGTGCATCTTAGTTTCTGGCTGCTGCTGTAATAAATTGCCAACTTAAAACACAAAGCTATTATAGCATAGTTCTGGAGGTCAGAAGTCCAGAACGGACTGGCAAGGCTGTGTTCTTTCAGGGAGCTCCTTGCCTTTTCTAGTTGCTAGAGACTGCCTGTATTCCATGCCCCCCTCTTTAAGGCCAGGAGTGTAACATCTTCAGATTTTTCTGCT